TATATATATATATATATATATGAATGAGAATTTGATAAAAGGGGTGGGGTCAATGAGGGGAGGTGGGAGTGGACCTAAATGCCATCAAATTATATTGCATGAAAATAAAAGAAAATCAATTTTAAAAATACCTCAAAAAGCAGGTATTGTCGGGTCAGACAGCCCTGACTTTTATCATAGTTCTGTTACGTTCTGACTTCTTGAGGGGATTGTCAAACTTTTCTTATAATCTGTTCCTTTGTTTCTGGAAAAATATCTGCTTTCTATGAAAAAAGTAATGGGAAATAGCCACAGAGAAATCAGTACTTACAGTTGTTGGCTCTCTTTATGTTTCCTTCTCTTGTCAATGTTCTTGTCGTTATCCTGTCAAGAGCTGTTAAGTGAAGGAAAAGAATCACCAATTATTCCCCTTTCATTTCTGTTGCTATGATGAAACACCCTAACAAAATACCCAACATGTCCACATAGGGGAAGAAATGGATTTAAATTCCAGCTTACAGCCTATTGTTGAGGTGAAGTTGAGGTAGGAACATAAGCAGCTAGTCACATCCATAGTCAAGAACAGAGAGAAACAGATGCACAGATCTACTTGTTTGTGTTCGCCTGTCCTATGTAGTTCAGGACTTCCTGCCCAGGGACTACTGCCACCCACAATGTCTACTTACATCAATTACAATTAATATGATCTGCCACAAACCAACCTGACAGAGACAATTTCTCAAGTGAGACTCTTCCTGTGTTCTAGGTTGTATAAAGTTGACATTTAAAATTAACCATCAAACTTATCAAAACAAGAAGTTGACACTCTGTGGATAACCTGTTCACATTTAAAACTAACCAATATACCTATCAATATAAGATTTGACACTTTGTGGATAACCTGTGTTGTCTTGAGATTACTTAGTTTGGATAACAGAAATAGTTGGGAGGCGTGAGAATATGGTATTTCCGTGACCACGTGAATGCTGATGCCTTGAGGCATGCTAGAGACTCCTATTAGGGTCTTGAAATGCCTTCAGGTAGGAACTAGATCTCATGGGAACAGTTACAGGCTACAGTGCTGGCCTTGGTCATGACTTCCAAAGGAGCCCTGTGGTCAAGAAAGGGACCTCATAATGGGGCAACTTCAACATATCCTGGGTCCACAGGAACGATCTCTACCACCTGTTTATTAGCTTCTTTCTGAAGCCTCATTATCTGAGGCTTTCTTTAGGCCTTGGTAAGCTCTCAAATTGTGTCCATCCTTGCCTTCCTCCCTTCTATCCTTCCTATAGACTGACTCAATTAATAGCATTTACGAGAAGGTTATGTAAGACTGCCCAGTGCTCTTGTATTAACTGCTCCTTCCCAGCCTTGACTTCAGTTATCTATGAAGGCAACTGTCAGAGCTCACACTGAACAAAAAGATTACTTAAAGGCTCAATTCCACTCACTTCATTTCCACAGCTAACAGTCCAGCTCTGAGAACTGGTGCCCTAAGCGAACTGAAGAATGGGCATTGTCTCACCAATCCATGGAGTCACACTCGTGTGGCACTGACATGACAGCATCTGGTCCAGTCCTTTCCCCTTCCTGGACTCTCCTGACCCCTGGGACTCACACAGTGCCGTGCACTGATCCCCTGCAGCCTAACCTCAGAATTGAACTTGCCTTCATCTCCTTAACCTAACTTAAACCCAAGTGTAGTTTCCCTTGTTACCCTCAGGCCATGACCTTTTTTCTTTCCTGACATACAGTGTGGACCACACACTAAGAATGGTATAAATTTAATTTCTTCTATGCTTACCTTGCTGCCTATAGACATTACTTTCTCTCATCTATAATCAGAGAACAGAGTCATAAATATCTACAATATTTACTTACTGACAATAGAATGCTTTCCTGTCATCTTTCTGGAAGGTCATTGTTAATGTAGATGGCCCACTAGCATTAGTCCAATAAGTTCACAACCTTCTTACTTTCAGTAATCTTTCCACTAAATTTCCATAGTCAAGCGTCATCACTGTTAGAGCATGCCCTCCAAAATCCAAATTCAATCATCTGATATTACGTCTACTCTATACAAACTTTCCTTTGGTACCATCTCTGCCCATCATTGAGTCATTCCATTCAATTTTCAACACACTATAACATGATCTATTTTTTTTGTCTTTTTTGAGACAGGGTCTCCCTGTAGCCCCAGCTGTCCTAGAACTCACTATGTAGACCAGGCTGGCCTTGAACTCACAAAGATCCACCTGCTTCTGCCTCCCAAGTGCTGGGATTAAAGGCGTGCGCCACCAAACCCAGTCAACATGATCTATTTTAAAACAATCCTCCACCTGCCTTCCCAAATCCTGAACTTCATCATGATTTTCTAGTCAAGTGTTAATGATTCCCCAAATCAAATGTGCAAATCTGGTTCAACTTCAGGTTATGGCATTTCCATTCGCTTACTCACATGAATATTTTTACACAAACTGAGCATGTGCAACAGTGAATTTTTATTGTTTACTTGGTTTTTGCTTTCTCCCCAACATACCTTTAGCATTCTGCATCCCAGCAAACGGCATCCCCCTTAGTGTAGCTTCTTAGTCAATGACCTACAAGTCTTCCTTGATTCCTGTCTTCCTTTCACATTAACTCACTAAAAAAAGAGGAACACCCTAGCAATATAACTCAAAAACCACCTCCACTGCTGTCAATCTGACATGAACCAGAATTTACAGTCTCAGCTGAGTCTACAAGAGGCTGCTGTCTACACACCAACCATCCACACCTTCTACGTTGTAACCCAGTAAGTCAGAACTCTAGTAGCTTACTCTCAGTTCTTGCCATTTTAAGAGTTTCTGGAAGCTTTTAATGTACTTGAGCACTTCCTTTTAATAGAAATATTTTAATTATGTTTTTAATAATATGCCTTTCATCATTTATTCCTACTTACTGTAAATCTTTCTCAAACTGGCTTTTCTCTCTTAAGATTCTAAATATTGAGTTTTCTACAACTCAGTCTTTGGTGGCTATTTCTTCCTTCTGTCTAATTGCTTTCCCTGTATGATTTTGTCTTTATCTGCTTCTCTGTAACCCGTAGCTAATTGTAAATCACCATTAAGATGTGGAGTTTGTTTGGTAAGTCTATATTTTACATTTAATTTGAACCACCCTGAGATTCTCTTCAGGACAGATTCCTCAGCTCGCTTGTCATATTCACATGGAAAAGGCTCTCAGTATATGTTCATTGAATGAATGAATGGATGTGTAAATGAAAACCATGAACAGTCCAAGGACATCAAAGCAAAGCTGGTTAAATAGTGAAGATTAGTTTGCTGTTTAACAGTTAAGCAACTATAAAAAAGAGGAAGGAAGGAGTAATTAGTGCATGCTAGACATAAATTAGAATAATGTGATTATCCACAAGAACAGACATAAACACAAGCAATATTCATATTTCAATAAATACCATCTAAAAATATTGTCTAAAAACTATCGGAATCCTTTCTAACTTCTTTTATTAGCTTCTCAACAAGCAAATGAAAGATTTTAATCCATCACCAGGGAAACGAAGAGTATGTATTTTCGAGTTTAATTAGTCAACAAATAGTTTTCAGTTGGCTGTATGACACTGGGCCTGTAGCTTCATGTTTTCTTGGAATGTAATTTCCTTTCACACAATATGAAAAAATTGGGTGATGTGAGATAATTCTGTAATTTCATTTTCTGTTTCCATCTTCCACATAGACTATTTAATATGTAGCTAAGGAGTTGACACTTAAAGTGTTTTAAAGTCATATTCATCAAAATTACAAAAATAAGACAGAACCATTGTTCCATTACTTGTTAAGTTTGGAAGATTCAAAACCTCAAGACAAAGCAAGCCAGGAATGCCCTTCTGTCTCACTGCACATCCAAGTACTGAAGTCCCACAAACACTTGTGAAGATTTCCAAATGATTCAGAGAAGTAGAGGCATATCCTCAGGAAGAGAGTGTTCTGTCAACACTCTGTGGGGAGGAACAGGCGGTCTGTGATGACTTGTTCTGTGGGTGGCTTCCTCCCACCATGAAATGTGTGAAGGTTGCTTACTCTTGCCATTTAAGAGCAAGTTGGATTTAAAGACAAGGCAGTTGTGCCCCAACTGGAACCCAATGTCGGGTTTCATGAACTTGAGTTACCATTTTGGACTGGTGAAAATAAGTAAAAGACTGATTGAAGGACCATATACACTATTTCCTGGAAACCTGAAATGCCTTTAAGGCTGGTGATGCTGGACCAACTGATTTACCGTCTGTTTTTCCTTTTCTAGTCATTCTCCAACTTCAAAGAGATTTTCCTTCTTCAGTGACTGTTTTCTCCTTCCCCATGATTGCCACTGCTGTCTTCTCCACATTTGCCTAGTCTCATCCTGGTGAGGAGGAATGAAGGATGAGGGAACATCGGGGATCTATTTCGTCTCCTATTCTAACGTCACTGCAATCTAAGTTCCTTCAACTATGCCACACTCTAAATGCTGAGAAATAATGCTCTCTAGTCCATTCTCCTTTCTAATCTTGTTGACTACAAATCTTGTTAAAAGCATTGCCTTCCTCTTCCAGGATGCTGTTTCATTATAAAAGTTCATTATAAAATAGAACTTGTTCTAGAAGACTTCTTTTGTGCAAACCTTTGCTACAACACTCACCACTCTCAAACTGAATGATTCATTTTCCTACTGCTTCTCCTATGATATAAATGAGCTAACTGAATTCATGCATTCTTTTGTGTCCATGACACTTAGGACAATCATTGTTGAAGATGATCAGCAATGATGATCAATAAAAACTCTTTCCTGAGTGAATGAATGATTGCTTCTGATTTGGGGTTCTGTGTTCTTAGTATATGAAAAGTACAGACTGTTCATTATGGTATCACATACCAGAAGTTATTTATAAAGCACATTGTATAAGTAACCCATTAAAAGTAAATGAATTCAATAATGGTATTTGACAACTTAATTTAATTAAATATTTGCGTGTCTACTGTGTATAAGAAACTTTTGAGAAGCAATGAACATAATATGTATTTTAGCAGAAACACAAAACAATCACTCAAATACTACAAGAGGAAAAATTTCATTTGAGAACACAGCAAGCTTCTCAGAAAAGAGAAAGTTTGGTTCCAGCTCTTGAAGATAGAGAAATGAATAGAAAAGCATTCCAGACACGGGGACTGAAATACATGAGGACAATTACAGAATATATAGGCTGTAAGAGTGGTTTTGTGACAGACATATTCTCTTTAATGCTGGCTTACAAAGTGATAAGTCATCTAACCTACAGTTAGTGCTCTTAAGCAGCCCTCACCTGGGCTCTATCACATATCTCTTTCATGTGTCTTTCCTGCTGTCTTTAAAATATGA